AGATTTATTTTTAAATAATATATTTGTTATTTGGCTTCCAGGTTTTAGCCTGTAAAGTATCATAATCCCTTATTTCTTACAATGTTTATTATAGCAGTAGATTATGAACTAATTTTTTTTTTCTTTCTTTTTTAGATAGGGTTTCATTATACAGTTTAGGCTGGCCTTGAACTCATAGTGATTCTCCTGCCTGAGCCTCCTAATTGCTGGTATTACTGTCATGCACCACTATGCCTGATTAGGAACTAGATTATTTTAATGCCAAATTGTTATGTCAAAATTCAAGATCCCAGATCTTTACCCTTTACTAGAAGATAAGAGCATCTAAACCAGAGAAATTGGTGCTTGATACAGTTAGGTGACATGGACTGTGGGAAATCAGGAACTTCCAAAGGTCTCCTACCCTACTAACACTGAAAACAAACCTCATAAATACCTCTTCTTGTCTAAAGTAGATATACTGTAACAAAATGCCAGATGCTATGTTAGAATTTATTAAAAATTCAGATCAGGTATTCCATTCTTGAACTGTAAACCTTCCATTTAGTTTGTTCAGTTTTAAACATTCTATCAGCAATTTAGTGTATGTTCACAATTATGTTGAATTTAAACCCATTCTACCCTAACTGTTGATGTCTACATATCACGTAAAGTGCTGAGTACAGTACTATGTTATAAAAATATAAGGCTGGACCCTTATGGAATTAGCCTAGATTAGATTTCTCAAACATAGGACTTTTGCACTCTGGGCAAGTCTTTGTGGAAACTTCAGCAACTTTATAGAACTTTTGAAACACCTTGTGAATTGTTCCATGAGGGTGACTTTTGCTGCAGAGAGAGGATCTTCCAAGTTTATTAGACTTTCTCCAAGTGACCCCCAAAATGTTAAGAATGATCGGTCGAGAAGATGATGTTTATGCTTGCTGTTGTTGACATAATAGTATTCCATAAAATAGCAAGTCATTTTATGTCCTTAGGTGTAGCCATAGGTTATGATTTACAATTACTTCTTTTTGTGTGTGTGCATGTTTTAACACAATAACATTTATTTCAGTATCTTTCCTGTATTTGTTATTCAAATCCAGGGATCTCTACAATGGCAAGCTAATAAATATGTTACATGTCAAATCAACATCTTGAAAGAAATGTATAAAAATAAGTATATAAACAATCTCTGTGCTTAATAATTATATATACTTAGTATATTTAAAATACTCATATTTTGCAGCTTCTTAGATTTATTCTAATTATTTTAGAAATAAAGTCATCCAAACTTGTACATGGAGTAAGGCAAAGAGAAGAACCGCCTTTTGGTTTCCAGGTCAGTTTTTCCTTCCCTCCTGTTGGCACCAGAAGCCCAAAAGACTAAATTTAATCTGGCTAGTTGATCAGGATAGTATATATCCTGATATAGTAGTATATATCTACTACTATACTGCTATACTGCTATAGTATAGCTATATTTACTATGTGCTACTAAGTATATATCCT